GTCAGACTTGGAAACAAATTCAAGGATAGTGATCATTGAGTCAAGGTTTGAGGAAGAAATTTTTCCTCGGTCACTATATAAAGTATTCTGCTCCTTGATTGTTGATACCAATTCTTCATTGCTATGTATCCCAATTGATCATAAGATTCCATGATTTAGCTTGCTTTTTCTACTTTTGAATGCTTCTGTGAGATTTTCAGCTTAATATTTGGGAATGCAAGAGAGGGGGCTCCCCTTGAGACAAGTTAGGGATGATTTGGTAGCTCAAAGATGGCAAGGTTTGGAAAATTTGAAAACTTGACAATGTAGTTTTAAGTTGACTTCTAAAAGCTAACTCAACTAGGTCCCTGCCTCCCTTTGTCAGAGTGGTAAACCACTTGTTGCATTGCACCAACCCAAGGGGGGGACTTATGTCTAAAGTTGACCCTGCGGCCTGAGACCATTAGGATTTTTGGCTGGGAATTTTATGTACTCCATCTGACACACATTTGGCCAATTGTTTTTTCTTCTAGTTTTCAGATTGGGGATCATTCAAGCTGTCCCCATCTATGTACTAACTTTGCTAATGGTAAACACATCTCCTTGAGTAATAGTGATGATTGTAACATTGCCAATTTCAGATAAGCAGGATCATTCTAGTCACAAAAAAGGCAAGTTGAATGCCACCCAAGGGCCTACAGTACAATTCTCCATGATCTTGTGCATCCTTTGCTTCCCCAAAACATGATAATCAGCTGGAAAATAGTGCTGCTACACACAATTGAAAAAGATGGTTTTCCTGATTCTCTCAGGCTGCAAGGTTGACTTTGTGCCCCCTCCAATTGGAGGGACCTAATTAAGTTAGTACCGAAAGATGCACACAATATGGCTGAGCTAGACAAACAGATCAGTATATACTAATAAATAATCAACATATGAAGAAAAAAACCACAAGGTGATGCAAAATATAAGAAGAGATTAAGTGAGTTTAGCTTCACTTGGTACAATGGAAATTTGGGATGAGAATGTGAGTGGAGAAGTCAGGCTAGAATTCTGACAGTTTCAAAGGACCTGATGATGCACATTTCAAGTGCCTTGCAGATGGGATTGGGTGAAGTATTTTTTTAACTGGTCATGTGAGCATTGTTGCTGCTTGAAGATTCAGAGTATGTAACACTGCTTGTGATTGTCACATCTCCCATCACTCCATGCTTCCCCTGAATCAAGCTGATCACCTCCAGGAGGTCTGGGGAGTTCATGAAAGTCAGTCTGAATATAAGGCAGAAACACCTCTGTGCATGTTTTTTCTGTAAATCATAATCTTCAGGAGACTTGCGAGAAGTTGGCTCCACCAAGGGCGCGATGTGGATGTTAAAATATTCACGCAGGTTGAAATGCAGTTGCAGGGGAGATGAGCTGAGATGAGACAGTGTATGTAGAAGAACTTTGGGGAACTTGTTGGCTCTTCCTACAGTAGATTAAGGTGGTGTGTGAAACAAGCAAGAGAGATTTGGCTGTTTCGTCGGATTGATTCGGGGGGTGCTCGTGGGTTTCCCCCCGTGGCTGTTCACCCTGGAATCCCAGAACAGTCAAGCCAAGCAGCAGTGCGACGAGATCAGCCCAGGACAACCCAATCCACCTCTTTCGTTCATTACCATCTCCTTAACTCACTTCACTCACTCACCCTCACTTCTCCAATCGACTGTCGCCGAAGTACCGAAGCCGACCTAACTCCCCTTGTTTTTGCGACGAACGACGACCAGTTTCAAAAATAAAATAAAATACCGGATGCCAAGATGAAGACCAACATCAGCCTCATCCTCACCTTCGCACTCCTCTCCCTCTTCTCCAGCTCAACCCACGCCAAACATAATAATATCAAGAGTCGCGGTACACCAGCCAATAATAATACTAATAATCAACAGAAGAACGGAATCTCTAAGCCTTGTCAAACTTACTACAGTGCTAATACCCCTCATGCTGGTTTGTTCTGAGCACAAGCTTGTCTCTCTTCTCCTTGACTAGATGAAAACACTAATGGTGGGAATCTATAAACAGTATGTAACGGCGATAGG